ATTTTAAAAAAATTCCTATTTCACCATAAAAAGCAAAAATTAAAGCAATCATATAATAAAATAACATCATAGTATGTCAAAAAGCAAACTGAAAAATGAAGTTTGACATAGTTTACACAAATAACTGCATTTGTTTTTCTAAGATTATGTTAATAAATAAATACAGATCACTCTGATTTGTTCATTTGTTTCCTCTGGGAAGATCTTATATAATAAAGGCTAAAATGCAAGTAGACCACACTGTGGAACAACCAAACAACCAGTTGCTATGATGTGCGCTGACCACTAGTGGATTCATGCAGAACATGACGGGCATCAGCAGCAGGCTGCAGAGCGCAAAACATGGTGGGCATCGGCTGCGGTGGGATGGTGGAGCAGGTGAGCGGGGGCGCCAGACCAAAGCAGGGCGCCTGTCGCTGTCATTGGAGAGAGCCTCTGGTGGTTACTGAAAATTTTTTGTTCCCTCATGCCGTGGTTCCACTCAGAGCTCACACCTGCTGTCCGTGCCAGCCCCACTTGCACCTGCTACTGGCACCCAGTGCCAGCTCTGCTTGCCCCTCAGGGCTTCTCCACCTCCTTCTGCTCCTAAGGGGCAATTAGGGCAGCAGCCACCACTCACATCCCACTGATGGTGCCAGCCCAGCTTGCACCCGATGCGGGCACAAGCCCCAATCACTCCTCACAGTCAGCAGGGACACTGTTGTCAGCACATGGGAGCAGTGGCAGCAGGAGTGGGGCTGCCGGCAGACAGAGGACTGGGGGCTACTGTGGGAGGGGCTGGGCCAGGGTGCAGAGGATGGGCTGTGCCCACTACAGCCTCACACGCCACAGTTCAAGTTGCACGAATTGGTGCACTGGGCCCCCAGTGTACAAATAAAAGTGGTCGAAGATTTAAAATAAGATATTAAAAGTGTAAAATTAAAAGATTAAAAGTCTGTTCTCACAGCTACTGCAAATGAGCTATTTGCATTACAAAGACCACTCACTCCTTGTACTTCCATCTGTTTCTTGCCACTTATTATTCCTGGGAAAACACAAGGCAAATATACTAATAAAACTACAACTAAAGTACAAACAGTTTGATACCAATGTGTTATAATTGCCTAGATAATAACAATCCTATATTTCCCATAGGAAACTGGCAATAATAGTTTTATGTGTATATTAGTCATATTGTGCAGCAGAGTGAAAACAGCCCTCTCCTCTCTTAAGGTGTGCCTGAAATTGTGTAACCTGTCATATAATTAAATAATGGGATTTTTGTGCAGAGTGCTGCGGTTAGATTTTTTTTTTTTAAAGAGGTGATTCCCTAAATCTCCAAGTAAGACCAAAGTTCTGTGAACAAAAGAATAACAGTTCAAAGACAAACTTATTCACGAAATAAAAGGTTGATAATACTAAGAAAATGCAAAGGCTTTGACATTTGTCCTAGGGTGGGATCAAAGGATTCTGATCACCCTTGGGTGAAAGATTTTGGTTTTTGCCAGAGAAGCAAGATAGAATTCCATAGAGAATGAAATGGAAGCTTCAAGAGACTAGGGATCTAGATCTAGGCCAGATGCCTACTGCTCTTCAATAATTATGTACCTGCTAAGTAACTGAATAAATACACTTCTACACTATCAGGAGGAAGGCTGAATTGCCAAAAGGCCAAATGGTGTAAACTAAGAACTTCTGTAAGACTTGTCCCCTAAGTTGAAGACAGCTAAGGTCTATATACTCCTTCTACCTGCTCGCTCATATATATTCTGTGCCTTTTGAGTTCTCATGTACACAAGGAGTTTCTGTTCACTATCTAGCCTGATTGAAGAGTGCACAGCTTCTTGATTACCAAATTATCACACACATGCCAAAAGAGGGAGAACTTCTAATGTGCCTTAAAAAAAATTTTTTTTGAATGTGACTACATCAAACTTAAAAGTTTTTGCACAGCAAAGGAAACCATCAGCAAAACAAAAAAAATAGCCGAGACCGGTTTGGCTCAATGGATAGAGCGTCGGCTTGGGGACTGAAGGGTCCCTGGTTCGATTCCGGTCAAGGGCATGTACCTTATTATTCCTGGGAAAACACATATCCCCAGTAGGGGGTGAGCAAGAGGCAGCTGATCGATGACTCTCTCTCATCGATGTTTCTAACTCTCTATCTCTCTCCCTTCCTCTCTGTATAAAATCAATAAAATATATAAAATAAAATAAAAATAAAAAAACGAAAAAATAGTCTACAAAACGGAAGATGATATTTCCTAATGATACATCCTATAAGGGGTTAATATCCAAAATGTATAAAGAACCTACACATCTTAAAGAAAATAGGCAAAGGACATGAATACACACTTCTCCAAAGAGGCCAATAGACAAATGCCCAATAGACAAACTAAAAGATGCTCAATGTCACTAACCATTTGAGACATGCAAATTAAAACCACAGTGAGCTATCACCTCACACCTGTCAGAATGCCTACCATCAATAAATCCACAAACAACATGTATTGGTGAAGATATGGGGGAAAGGGGAGAGCTCTTGATACTGTACACAACAGTCTGAGGTTGCTGTCACTCCTTGAGCCAAATTATGCAGAGGTAAGGTTGAAACATATATGAGTCTTTATTCCAATCATGCCAGCAGAATGTGGAGAGCAGGCAGTCACCTTGGAAAGCCTGCTCTGCTCCAGTGGTCGGCAAACTCATTAGTCAACAGAGCGGCAGTTTGCAGACCACTGCCCTAGCCAACTGGCTGATTATATATGGCAAGGGAGGAGATAACTACATGCAGCTGTGAGCTTCAAGTGTAACATGGAAAGGGGAGGGGAGGGTCGGCAGTCTGGCTTCAGGAGCTCTAAGTCCCCTAACAAGGTGGCTAATCTTCTGTGATGTTACAAACAGCTCAGTCCATTCCTGGGACCAGAAAATGGTCAGCATTCCTGAGAAAAACTCCCAGAGGGGGTCAGGGTCTGGACACAGCAATCAGATCAAAGAGTGTCCTTGGTCTGTTCTCAAAATGTAATAAACTCAGGGAAACATTTACTTACTTTGACCAGTTTATTCTAAAGGCTATGATAAATAATGCAGATGAACAGCCAGATGAAGAGGTAGCGGGTAAAGTATGTGGAATGGGGCACAGCTCCTTGGGTGTCTCTGGGAGTGCCAGTCTCCCCACATCTCCACGTGTTCACCAACCCATGAGTTCTCCAAACCCAGGTCCTTTGACTTTCATGACACAGGCATGATTGATTGAATCATTGCCTATAGGTGATTTTTAAAAAATTTTCTTTATTGATTATGGTATCACATAATTGTCCTCATCCCCCATTTTTATCCCAAACCCTTCCCCAAGTATGTCCCCGCCTGTTGTCTGTGTCCACTGGTTAGGCTTATATGCATGCACACAAGTCCTTTGGTTGATCTCCCCTTTGCCCCCATCCTCCCTTACCTTCCCTCTAAGGTCTGATAGTCTGATCGCTGCTTCTCTGTCTCCAGGTCTGTTTCTGTTAATCAATTTATGTTGTTCATTATTCCCCCTAGATGTGTTAGATCATGTGATACAAGGAATTCCCTTATAAGGACCGAAACTGAGACAAGCCATAATGGTTATGCTGAGAGGCAAATGAATCAGTCCGTAGTGAGTTCCTTTCTGGGCCAACAGTTCTTTGAGTCCCCATTTCAATGTCAAACAGTTCCTTATGTGTACATGTCAGCCATGGTATTTCACATCTGGTTGGTGGACAAATGGTGTTGATGCAGGCCCGACCGACCGTCTCCAGGTGACTGAACCAGCCTCTCTTTCCCACTCTCCAGAGGTCAGGAGATGGGACTGAAAGTTTCAACCCTCTAATCACATGGTTGGTTCTCCCATCCTTATATTGCCTAGGGGCTTTTCAAAAGTCACCTCATTAATATAACAAAAAGTGCCTTTATCAACCTCCTCCCTTAGGAAATTCCAAGGTTTTAAGGGTTCTGTGCCAGAAATGGGGATGAAGAGCAAATATATACTTAATATAAGTCACAATGTCACAGGTAATAAGGAAAAGGAATTGAAAATTGGTTGGGGCCCCCCTATCACCCACTGAGCGATACATAGTCTTACCCTTTTATAAAAATACACACAAAGGCCGAAACCAGTTTGGCTCAGTGGATAGAGTGTCGGCCTGTGGACTAAAAGGTTCAAGGTTCGATTCCGGTCGGGGGCATGTGCATTGGTTGCGGGCACATCCCCAGTAGGAGGAGTGCAGGAGGCAGCTAATTGATGTTTCTCTCTGATCAATGTTTCTGGTTTTCTATCCCTCTCCCTTTTTCTCTGTAGAAAATCAATAAAATATATATTTTTTAAAATACACACAAAGGCAGACAGCTACACCACCAAATGCTCCCAAGGCTCCAACAACCAGCAAACACCAGGGAAGCACTCAAAAGAGAAACAAAAAGATGCCGGAGAGGAGACAAAGGGAACCAAACAGGGAGAAGTATCACTTGGAAAGGATGGACAGCTACTCTGCCTGGCAGCCAGCAGCACATCCCCCTCTAGGACCCCTCATCCCCAGGCCTGGAGTCAGGCAAGAACAGGGAACCCCACTGGATTGTAACCTTGTCTCCCTCTCTCTCTCTCTCTCTCTCTCTCTCTCTCTCTCTCTCTCTCTCTCTCTCTCTCTCTCTCTCCTCTCTCTCTCTCACACACACACACACACACACACACACACACACGATCTCAGTCTCTTACACACACTCTCACAGTCTTCTAACGTAGACAGCCGCTCTCGTGCCAAAACGTGCACCCTCGCTCTGCTCTCTCACTAGCCCGATGGACCCCGCCCCGTGTGGCCACGCCCCCGGAGCTCCGCCTGGCGGCCGGGGGCGGGGCGGGCGGTGAAGCAGGGGCGTGGCGTGACGGGGAGGGAGTGGTAGAGCGAGGCGGGGAGGGAGGGGCGGGGCGGGAAGGGCGGGGCGGGCCGGGAGGAGAGGAGCGGGGCGGGGCGGGGCGGGCCGGGAGGGGCGGGGAAAGCAGGGCCGGGCCGGGAAGGCGGGGAGGGGCGGGGACAGAGCTGCAGCTCCCCGCTCGGCCGGCGGCTCAGGGGGGAGACGGCTGTCAGCGGCGAGCGCTCCGGGTGCCGGCGGGTCCCCTCCGGTGGTGGTGGTGGTGGCGCCGCCTCGCGCTTGGCCGCCTGGCCCCTCGGGCGGCCGCCCCGGCGGCGGCGGGATGTGCTCGGCCCGGCAGCTCCTCGGAGGCGGGGGCGGCAGCGACTGCGGCGGCGGCGGCGGGGCGCGCGGCGAGGACGGAGACGCGCCGGCGGGGCCGGCGGCGGTGGCGGCGGCGGCGGGGACCCAGGCGGAGCCCGGGGCGAGCCCGCGGCGGGGCGGGCGGCGGCCGCAGGAGGAGCGCGGGCAGGTGAGCGGGCGGGCCGGTTCCGAGCGCCCCCCCCGGAGGGCGTGGCCCGGAAGGGCGGTTGGACGGACCGGCGCGGGGCCGGGGGCCAGGCCTGGTGGGGCAGGTCCGCAGGGCCCTGGGCTGCGGGCTCCGTGGGGGTGTCCTCGGCGCTCACTGCCCGGAAGCCGCCTCGGAAACCCTGCTTTTCCGACCTGGTGCGGGCGGCCCGGCGCGGGTTCCAGGGCCGCACCCCCCCCGCCCCCCGACCCCGACCCCATCCGGCGCGGGGCGACACCTGGCCGGGAGGTGTGGGCGGGCTCCCTCCGCCGCTGTCAGAGGCCGCAGGAGCGGTATCACTCACGTTCTTGGCGGGGACTTTCCCAGAGCAAGACCTTCACCTGAACACAAGAGCTAAACTTCGCCTTAAAAGTAAAAGAATTGGGAAATTTGCTTCCCAAAGGCATTATATAGCACATGGGATATGTTCAACATTAGGCCAGGAACTTCATCAAAGAAATTGAATTACATATGCGGGGTGAATTGTCACCAGCAAATACAATTAGACGTCCAAAAACATGAGAAATAAGCCAGCCTTCAGAATCGCATTAAGGAACGGGAATCCAAATCATCATTTGCCTTTCCTGCAGCCTGCACTGCTGGGAGAATCCGCACCTGTCTCCCCTCATTTTCCTTCTCCACCTGCGCTTTTCCTAACGTTTCGCCAACTCCAGTATCATTAAATACACTTAAGAGATTACGTATGACTTCTAGTGCGTCAATATTTTACTTAGGAAACAGACATAACAGTGCGTGGCACACACAGAATGTGTCTTAGCGTTTAGGCTTGCTCGCCATGTGGAAGGGTAAGTTTTCATCTTTAGGACAATACTAGAGGCCCGGTGCATGAATTCGTGCACGGGTGGGGTCCCTCGGCCTGGCCAGCGATGGGGCTGATTGGGGCCAGTCAGCTTGCTGCCCTGATTGGGAAGTCGGCCAGCCCCAGGAGGTTGGCTGTGGGAGCAGCTTGTGCATTGTCTTCCCCCCTGGTGGTTAGTGTGTGTCATAGCTACTGGCCAGTTCCGTTGTCTGGTCCTAACGGTCACTTACCGTATTTTCCGGCATATAAGACGACTTTTGAAATGAAAAAAAGCCTGCTCAAGGATATTTCAGTGTATCACCCACTTTTCCAGGCTCTCTCCCACTAAAACTGGACACGTTGCACATTTGGCAGATCACTGGTATTGTCTGCTGCCCTCAGAGCACACTCTGATACCCTCTACTTAACAACATCATGCATACCTTCATAGCTTTGCTCAAATACCACCTCACCCAAGAAGCCTCCTTAAATAACTTGGCCTGAAATGGACTCTTTCTTCCTGAGCTCTATAGCACTTTGTGTTTTGGAAGGAGTATGTCACTCACTGGTCTGTATTGTGACTTTCCAAAGAATATCATCTAAAAAATATATGAATTAATTAAAATATTGATATTTTAAATACCAAAAAGAAAAAAAGCCTGCTCAGATTGGCCAGAGTCAGAGAGGCGGTCTACTAAAAAAAGAACTGGTGTTGCCTCGGAAGTGGGGGGTAGTCTTATACAGCGAATATAGGCCTAAACCTATGTTTTAACTGTAAAATTGGGGGGTCGTCTTATACGCCCGGTCTTATATGCCGGAAAATACGGTAGGCTTTTATATATATAGATAAGAGATGGTGACTAAAGCAAAACATTGGTAGCCAGATCGTCCTGAGTCTCTCCCTGGTATTAGGTCTAGTAATAATTAATGTCGTTTCCTAATACTTTTTAAAATCGAATTTATTTAAACAATACAACAAAATTTAACCAACAATATAGTTGCCGTTGTTTTCTACTATTTGTGCCCAACGCTCAGGAAGCATTTTAATCCCTCTATTGTAAAATTCTTGTGATTTTGATGCAAAAAATTCGGTCCATGCATTTTTGAGGCATTCTTCATTATTAAATTTTTTTCCAAGAAGAAAGTTTTGCAAAGAACGAAACAAATGGTAATCGGAAGGGGCAATATCAGGAGAATATGCAGGTTGAGGGAGAACTTCCCATTCCAACTGGCGCAGTTTTTCAGCAGTGATTCTTGCAGTATGCGGTCCTGCGTTATCCTGGTGAAGAATTACGCCCTTCCTATTAATCAGCGCGGGTTCTTTTTCTCTTAAAGCTTGGGCTAACCTTTCCAATTGGGCACTATACACTGCACTTGTAATGGTTTGGTTAGATGGTAAAAGTTCATAATGAAGAATTCCTTTAAAATTCCACCAAACACACATCACTTTTTTCGCATGCAAATCAGGTTTTGGCGTGGGCTGCGGAGCCTCATTTTTGTCCAACCATTGAGGCTGCCTTTTCAAATTAACATACAGCACCCATTTTTCATCTCCGGTAACAATTTGCTCTAAAAACGGCAAACGGTTTTGACGAGAGAGGAGCAAACTGCAAATTGTGACTCTTTGATTACGGTTGTTGTCGGTCAACTCATGAGGAACCCATTTTCCAAACTTTTGGACTTTGCCAAGTGCACGCAATTGATTGGAAATTGTTTTTTGTGAACAATTTAAAGTTGTCGCAAGCTCTTGTTGGGTAATTTGAGGATTTTGCACCAAAAGAGCTTGAAGAGCTTCTTGATCAAAATTGGACACACAGCCTCGACCACTCTTGTCATCTAACGAAAAATTTCCCTCGCGAAATTTCTCAAACCAACGCTGGCATTTTCTGGCACTAACTGCATCTTGACCAAGAGCACTACAGATGTTTTTTGCAGCCTCACTTGCTTTTCTTCCTAATTGGAACTCGTAAAGCATGCAGTGCCGAATATGCTCTTCATTCGCCAACTTCTTAGCCCTAGTTTTGCAACAAAAACCAAACCAAACACAAACTTTTTCAAGCAAAACTTGTTAATTGCACTTCACACGTTCTGTAGATACCACGTGTTTGAAGGTTATGTCAATACAAGTCAACGCCAAGCAAGATTTTAAACGAATGTTGGAAACGACATTAATTATTACTAGACCCGATAGTTTTCCCCATTACTTGCACCGTAACTCAGTAGCTAAAGGGCTTAGTTTCCCCTTACCTTAGTTGTTGAACTGGAGAAGTGAAGAAAAGGGCCACAGGAAGGCAGAGGAGGGGGAGTAGGGGAAGTAGGGGTTTGTGGTGCATTTGAGCTGAGGTCCCCCAAGTAAATTTTCAAATGGTTGTAAGAGAGCATGTATTGTAAAATACCTCATGTAGGCCAGCCGGTGTGGCTCGGTGATTGAGAGTGAACCAGGAGGTCACTGTTTGATCCTGGGTCAGGCCCATGCCTGGGTGGCTGGCTTGATCCCCAGTAAGGGGTAGCCGATCAGTGATTATCTCTCATCATTGATGTTTCTATCTTTCTCTCCCTCTCCCTTCCTCTCTCTGAAATCAATAAAAAATAAAATACTTGATGTAAGCTTTTGTGGATATCACATTATCAGTTGCTCTGCTCTTGCCAGAGCTGCTTATGGTACAAAGAAAAAGAATGAAACGAAAGAATGAAACGTTTTCTAGAAAACATATATCACTTTGCATACCTGCTTCTTTTGTTGCATGTCATGGAAATTCATTTTCCTGTACTCCTTTGAAAATGTTATTTTTATTTTTATCACAGGATTGATTTATGTACTCTAAGCCTACATACATAGTAATTGAAAATAATGCCCGAGATATGCATTTCCTTCTCTATCAGCACCAAAGAAGAATTCCTTACCAAGAAGTCAAAAATAAACAAACTTGGTTTAACCCAACCCATTGGTGCAAGGAGCAAGCTTTTGTGATAAATCATTTTTTGGTAATATTATTACAAAAGCTTATTTTCTAGCTTTATGTTAGCTCCTGTAAATGAAATTTAAAATTTTGTATGCACTGCCCTGCATTAATGATAGAGGTAGCTACAGATATGAAGATATTTGAGGGAAAGAGAAATGAAATTAACAACTATAAAACATACTCTAGGGAGTTGTGTTTTATTTAGCTTCTCCTTAGGGAGATGATATGTGTGTGTTTGTTTTAAGGACACACTGACTTTACATTACAAATGGAATATCTTTGAAAACTTGGTTTGTAAACTAGTTCTTTCGAACTTAAGTGAACTTTTCCATAGCAACAATGATAGAAACAGAAACAGAACCACAACTAATTAGCTGGAAATGAGGCAGAGACTGTTTTCTTCCTGTCCTTTCTGCTTAACTCAATCACTTGGCATCCCAGAGTCTTTGTGGCCCCGGGGACATTGGGAGAGCTCTGACTGCAGTGGTGGCAGCAGCAGGAGCAGCAGCAGGAACAGCAGCGGCGGCAGCTTCTTTCTATCTGGGTCAGGGTTGTGCGAGGGCGCGCGGTGCCACAAAGGCTCCGGAAGGCACCTGCCTTTTGCTCCGCCAGCTCTTCAGTGGTTTTTGTCAGCCCCTTCACAGAATTTTGCTCTTATCTGATAAGTTGATGAAGTGGACTTCTTCCCCAGGCTGAAGGCTCCTCTACATACATCCTTTCCCTCGCTGATTTTTCTTTCCTCTTTTTTCTGAAAGGCTCATATCCTTCCCTCAACCTGGAAGGCTCTTGCATCAGGTTTGATTACACAGTCCATCTTCCGCTCATTGTTGTTATGACACCAGATCAAAGTGCCTATGTATTTTGGTGTTTACTTCATGTAATACTGAAATGTTGTTATTAATATAGGTGCTTTGATAACTGAGATATTGTCAGCCTCGGTTTTTTTACATTTTGTCATAAGATGCCACTCCATCTGAGAAAAAACTAAGGTTTTTCTGCCCTTTTGGCCTAGGTTTTTCCAGGTAAGATGATTGACAAAAGAAGCCTGATTAAAATCAGGTATTCTAGGGAAGAAGGATTTTAAAGAATGGACCAAGTCTCTAGAAGAAGTAGGAGTCAGGTCTCTCAGAGAAGTAAGCTACGGAGAGAGGCAAATGCCCAAGGAACTGAAGGGAAAGGGCACAGTTATCCTACATGTGTGTTGGTAATTGTGTGCATGAGAGAGTATGTTTATAACTGTGAGGGCCGTGTTGTACAGGAGTCTCTGCCCTGTTGCATAGCTGGAAGGCTAACCTTCTCTGGTCCATTTCTTATATGTCTGTGATGTGAGTGGCATCCACTTAGCTGCAGCAGTTCACAGCCTGAAAACCCAAAACAGCCTTGCTTACCTAGAGCATAGAGAGGTCCCGTTATCCTTAGATAGATCTTCAGCTTTAAGGTCTTTATGATTCGAAAAGTAATGTGTACTTCAGAAAATGTAGAAATGTAGAAAGATCTAAAGAAGAAAAAAGCATTTGAAATCCCACACTGAGGAATTTTGTTGTAAAATATAAAAGTTTGGTACTACTACATTAATATATCTTTATGTATGTGCACATGTGTATATATACACAGAGATATATTTTTTAACTTTTTTTAATGTAGCATTGGAATTTGGTATTTTGTTTTATCTACTTACATATTTTGTCATTTTTTCCATGTTATCAAAAATTCTTTTTAAAAATTATATCTAGGGTGGCCTAATAGTTTATTCCTCCAATACTGCACACTGAAGTTGCTTTAAATTTCCTTTTATAAATAACTAGTGACCAGTGCTCAAAATTTGTGCACATTAAAAGAGGATTAATTAGAGGAAATAATTTTATATTGCTATTTGCTCTTTCTCTATAATAGAAGTGTTAGAGATGAAATAAAATTAGTAAAATGTATATGAAAATCTTTCTTCTGTCAGAGTCTGGGATGTACCACGGGACTCAGAGTCAAGTCCCCGCCCACCCACATGCACCTCAAAATCATGTGGGACCCAAACCCAGCCTCCACCCCCCCCCCCAATTGGGCTAGAACCAGACCCCGTCAGTCCCACCCTGGTTAAGCCCTGCTGGGTGGGGGGAATTAGCCTCAGGTCCCCTGGCCCAGTGCCAGGATGGGGGGCGTGGCCTGAGGTCCCCCAGCCCAGACAGGGGTAAGGGGTGAGCCTTGTGGGGGACATGGCCTGAGATCTCCTGTCAAGCTCCACTGGGTAGGGGCATGGCCTGAGTTATCCCAGCCCAGCATTGAGGGTGCACCTTGAGGTCCCCCATCAAGCCCAGCTGAGTGGGGGGACACAATCTGAGGTCCCCTGTCAAGCCCAGCTGGGTGGGGGGTGCACCCTGAGGTTCCATGTCAGCAAAGGAGGGTGTGGCCTCAGGTCCCTGCTGATTGCTCTTTAAGGCTCTTTATGGGAACTTGGCCTCACCTGTGGGTGTAGCCATCTTTGTGACAGAGTGATGATCAATTAGCATATTCCCTCTTTATTAGATAGCTTGCTTTCATGAAAGTCTGCATGTAAATCTTCACAGTTATTCTTCGGAATAGATTCTTAGAAGTGAAAGGACTAGGTCAATGAGTCAAACTCCACTCAGAACATCCTAAAACACTGCATTTAAGAAAGGTTACAGCAATGTATACTTCTATCATTGCCATATTTGAGTGCTGATTGAAAGCCATGCATGCCAGCAAAGAACAGGATAATTAATAAATTAATCTTTGCCAATTTACTAAAATTATTTTACTGTTGTAAGACATTGCTGCAGAGATTTTCTAAACCATGTACAGGGATGGGCATAAGTACAATTACAGTTTATACAGAAAGAACAAATACAAAACCAATAATATAGTAATAAATAATAAGACAACTCACAACTGTAAACCTACTTTTGCCCATCCCTGTGTGTGTATACACACATTTGTATTTCCTTTTTAATATGTTTTTTATTGATTTTTGAGACAGAGGAAGAGAGAGAGAGCAAAGCACTGATAAAAACCCTGATCATCCGCCTCCCACATGCCCTCTCACACACCCTCCCACATGCTCTCCTCCCAGTTCCCCGGCTCCCATCTCCCACCTCCCCCACCTCCCCAGGACAGAGCGCACAGCCTGGGCGTGTGTGCTGATCCGGAGTCAAACCAGTGAACTCTTGTTATATAGGTCAGTGCTCAACCACTGAGCCACACCGATAATATTCTTTGACCATTTTCCTTTTAGCATTATATTTATCCCTTATCTCACGTTGATTATAAATATTTTTCCTGCTTGCTGTTTACTTGATAACTTTGTTTATGATGTTTTGGATTTAGAAATCCTATACACTTTTATAGGCTAAAGGAATTTTTTTGGTAATTTCATACAAATCACCCACATTCACATATAAACACAATACTCTCCATATATATACAAGGTATCTATACTAATAAAAGGGTAATATGTTAATTAGACCTGGTCAACTGGCCATCTTCTAGACCAGCGTTTTTCAACCGCTGTTCCGCGGCACATGTTGCCTGGTGTGCCGTAGGTGCAGACAAGACAAGAATTTTATAATTTTTCACTATTTTGTTTACTTAATATTTCATAATAAAGTAATTATAAAGTACTTTCTTTGTGTTTATTTGATTCCTATTCAAGAGAATTACTTTATATATAGTCAATATAGGCACAGAGTTAAATTTTTTAACATTTTCTAATGGTGGTGTGCCTCGTGATTTTTTTCATGAAACAAGTGTGCCTTTGCCCAAAAAAGGTTGGAAAACACTGTTCTAGACGTCCAACTTCCTTCTGGACAGAGCCATGGTTTTGGGGGCTGAGGCAAAGGCAGTTTTGGGCGAGAACAGGCTGGCAGAGGGTTAGAGGTGATCAGTCCAACAGGGGAGGGCAGTTGGAGGTGATATCAAGCCGGCAGAGGAGGATAGTTGGGGGGACCAGGCCCGCAGGTATCAGGCCTAAACCAGCAGTCGGACATCCCTGGAGGGGTCCCAGATTGGAGAGGGTGCAGGCCAGGCTGAGGGACACCCTCCCCCCGTGTGCATGAATTTTATGCACCAGGCCTCTAGTCTACATATATATTTGTTTAGAGCATTCTTTTTAATTCTACAGTTAGTTAAATATCCACTAATTTTCTCTCTCTCTTTCTCTGGTGTGTGTGTTTATGTGGGGTATTTTTTTTTACCCTATGCATATAATCATTTTAGAATGATAAATGTATAAAGTGAGGTATGGAGCTAATAGTCTATTTTTTCTCCCAATCATTGAATAATCCACTTTCTCCCTGGTTTTCTAATCCTTTAATTATGAATAACAAAGTCTGTATTAAATGTTTACATTTTTGTTGGTATTATGAAAGGGATTTTTTCCCCCCACATGATGATTTTGCTCCTGGTTTCTAGCTATTGGTTCTCATATAATTTTTAATTAGCTACCTTTCTGAATTATTTTATTAATTTTAATTTTTGCATCTTCTAGGTATATAATCATCTAGTGTATAAACAAGGTTGATTTTGCTTCCTTTCAAATAGTAATGCTTCATTTCTGGTTGTTCTTTTTTTGGGGGGGGATTGCTTTTTTTGTTGTTGTTTTGTTTTTGTTTTTTGTTTTTGTTTTTCTTTTTTGCTTTTTACAATGCCTGGAACTCTCAGATCAATGCTGGCTCATAGATATTTAAGCAAGTTAACTTTTCAGACTTCAATTTCTTCGTCTATATGAAGGGACTCATAGTTGTATGAACATTAGGATTGTTGGGAGAATTACATGGGATAATAATATATGTAAAATGCTTACAGCAGCACCTAACAAGCTCCAAAGTGATGGTGATGCTCTATATGCCCATGGACCACATTTAGTGAGTAAAGGACATGCAAGGGAGTAAAGGACACGCAAGACAATCCACTGTGTTCATTGTACTATCAGTGAAGATATATATAGATATAAGTGATACAGATACAGAGACAGAGGTAGAGGCAGAGATAGAGGTAGTAGAGATAGAGGTAGAG